CTGGATCACACGATACAAAAAATATCTGCGGCAATATGCCTTAAGGCATTTTATTATGCCCTGATCCATTGGTTGGACGACTGAGGTGCTATTTGAAGGTAAAAACTCTAATCTCATATTTGATTAGATTTTTCATTCAATTTCATCCTAATCCAATCATCCCAATCTTTTAAATAATTTTAAAAAATACCTGCTCGCTGATATGAGTTATAACTGACAGGTAAATTTTTCACATTTTTAATGCATCTCGATCGTTCATATTTATAAATAACAAGAAGTTTGCATTTTTCGCTTCCTGCCATATTTGCATGTTTTTGCCAGTTTCTTTTGCCTAGCAATTTCCGCCTTACCGATACCACTCTCAATACTTCTGATAATCTCTATCGTGTCTTTTACAGTTAAAGACTGGCGCCGATCTGACATTTTAATCATAAACTCAAAAAATCGTGCTAGCATAGAACAATAATGTAGAAACTGCCGGCCGAACAAGCACGTTTCAGAGAAAACCTCGCAAATGATTACTGAACCAGAACAATACTTAAAATATTGTACTTTATAACAATAGTAGAATAAGATACTAGACTAGTTTAGCTGGACCAGTAAAATATGTACGTAATACCCGGAAGTACGCCATGAACGTTATAAATGGAGTTTACTGTATAACAAAACAAATTTTTAACTTCCCATCTATCTTACATCATTTGTTATCTAGTCCTTACTCTTCACCTTAGTCGATTTTAGGTTTTTATCAAGAACATCTTGTCTTCTTGAAGTTCCTTCACATCTTCCTCCATCTGCATTTATTCTTCTGTTGAAGATCGGTTCAAGAGGTTCAGGAGCTTCTTCTGTATATCATCAATTTTGTAATTTTATATCATATGTTGGTACATTTCCTTTTGCAATTTTCTAAAGCTGTATCTTTTAAAAGTTCACGTGCGAGAAAACCGTAACTTTAATACCATAAAATCGCCCTAAATGGGAGATTTTTAAAAGTGAGCAATAAGTTCTTAAAACCGTCGCAAATGGCGCAACCAAAAACTTATAGTTGCCTCTAAATGTCTAGTTTTATCATTCGGCGACGTTGAAATTATTTCCATCCTTTAGAGCCGAAACCGGACCGTTATTTCGGAAATTTAACGGGTCTTCATATTATCCGAAACGAGCGACCATCGGAGAAGACATTAAAGGGACAACAAACCTTATCGCCGGTTGTTTCATTGACAAATAACGGAATGCTCCGGCGCTAAGACAACACATAAATCGGGTTTATTGCAATAAATGGGGTGCTCGAGTTTTGCCGGGATCAAAACTTTTTGGCTTCCAAAGCAAACTATCCATGATAATGTTGGTTTCTCTCTACGAGGGTCGAGACACGATAGCAGTGTTCTCTATTGGACATCTTTTCGGGGCGACGTAAGGTGTTAAGGTATTGTAAAATAAACATTAAATGTTGATTTTAGATATCATTTGCCATCCTATATCATTTATTTGGTAAACTTGGTAAAGTTTAAAGGTCTCCCAAAATCCTACTTTTTTTTGAGCTCTAAGTTCTTTTATTCATATTTTAAGTTAGGTTATAGATATTGAGATGCCATTTTTATTGAGTCGCTGGGCCTTTATCTACTTACACGAAAAAAGTCGTATCGTATATTTTTTTTAAGATTCTCAGAATATTCCACCTGGTAAGGTAAGCAACCGCAATTGCGTGCAAGAACAATAGTGAAGGAAAAGCCTTTTTTACCAACTCCAACTTAAAATGCGTTGACTACTTTTTAGAAATTTTATGGATCCTTCTGATTAAAGGAAGGTAGGGTGGAACTTTTAATTACACTTTCCACATATGTTAATAATTAAAGACACTCGCTTTTGATATCATTATAATGAAAGTTAAATTTTTTCGTTCTTTTCCCAGCTTTGATAAAAATTTGTGCTTTTTGTAAGCCAAAGCCTCCGCAAAAGAATCACGATTTTGAGAACTAAAGCTAAAAATAAATGTGTTGATGTTTTATATGCGGCCTCGTGTAAAGATCCTTCCTACCGCCTTTGCAACCTCCGCCCGACGGGATACAAGGAGCAATCTATCACGCGCTCGAGACCAATTTAAATTTTAAAGAAAATTTTAGCATGCGCATCCAATAACATGGATTGTTTCAGTCACAATTCTCCACTTTTTGCTATCATCGGCGGCCATTAATCACGCCAGCCCCCGTGTCGCACTTTGGCGAGCGAAAAACCCGATTTCAGCTAACTTTGTTGGTTTTTGCGCAAGGAAACTTCGTAAATCCCGGAAGAAACCCGGAATATTGGCGAAAGAATTGCCTACTGCCGACAGCAATATCGGTTAGGCGAAGGAGGAAGAAAGCGTACTCGTGGATCGCGTTTAAAATGAAAGGAATAATAAAACTGGAATTAATTGGAAATTCGGGCATAAAGATAATACTAATATAAAAATCTCCGAAAATCAAAAGTGTTTCAAAATACATACAGAAAAGCCATATCTTTCCACACGGATCGATTCTAGCAAATAAAAAGTGGCTTATATTTTAAAAATAATTATTTTGTAATTATTTAATATTGTTAATAATAATTAATTTAAACATTTTAATTGGTTGTAACTTTTTTGTTTTTAGAGATATCAAGATAAACATAAAACCAAAATATAGAGTTAATAGCCAAATTTTTTCCCAAGTGACGTATAAAACAAAACATATAAGCCTACATCTTAATTTTTTAAATGGAACACTCTGTATATTATATATATGTTTAATAGAATATATTATTCCGATTACAATGATGGAACACACTTTATATTTTGGTCCACTCATTTTTGAGAAATACTCAAAAATAGGTAAAATTTTTATATTTTCAAAGAGTGCCGTCACTGACTACAACAACAATAATTATTTACAAATTAAAGTAGAACAAAAACACTAAAAATGACAAGATACATTAAAGTAATAAATTCTTTAACTATTCTAAGTTCGGTTTCATTTTTGGGTAAAGGTGCTTCTACTATAGCTTTTAATTTTACTCGTCAAGTATAAAGATCCCTTTCATATATTATATATCCGAAAAGTTCTCTCGCTAATGTGGAAATTATTTGGATTTTAATTCTGACTTCGGTGATTGGGGTTAAGATAGCTTTACGGGCCCGGAAACATGAGAGTTGATAACCAATATGACAATGCATTAAGGTTTCGGTCTGTATGCGTAGATTTTCTGTAAACTGATTGACCCAATATTAGGTCTGATTTTTCTATTCATAAGCATATCTAAGAGTTGGAGATTATTATTAGCTTCTAATTCAGTGCTTAAATGTATATTTTACGTTATGTAATTTAAATGACTAAGAAAACCTCTGAGGCCAAATAACAAAAATAACATTAGCGTAGTATCTCCTGTCCTCTTTCCTGGAGAAATTTAAAGGTTTAGGTTCAGTTACGGTCTGTTCATAGATATAAGAAAGTGACCAGTTGCTTTTGAATGGCATTATCCAAGGGTAAAAATACAATGCAACAAGATTATTACCTAAAGTAAATAAAAAAGTAAATTTAAATTCAGGTAAAATTGTGGTCCGTAATGGAAAATAATTTTATACCTACCTGTGTTTAATATTCTTTGGTTTGGTATGCTACTTAGTTTCAGTTTATTAGTAATCATTCTTATTTCGTGCGTAATACAGCGTGTGTCAAATCGTGTGCGAATTATGCAAAATATGTGCGAGTCTAGTGTGTCTCTGGAGATGCTCCCGCCCAAATGTAGAAAACTATTGAGACTAAGGAAGTTATAAACAATGTTTATTTGACTCTCATTCAACGTGGTGTCAGCAAACAAGCATCTTTAGAAGAAACGGCCACATTGACGAAAATTCCAACATCAACTGTATGGAAAATTGTGAGAGTCTATCTTCGATTTTTATAGATATTTGGTTTCCTTCAAACTTTTTTTTAACGGTCTCTATTATTTTTTGTGGCAATCCGATGGTCTTCATTGCCTTCCATGGTATCACAACAATTTGTGATAAAAAATGGAATCAGATACTTTTTTTAAATTATTTATTGTTTATCAGAAATTACATTTCCACAACAAGAAAGACATCGATGAATAGAAAGTGGTAAATTGTTTCAAATAGAATAGTTCTGTTCAGGTGTGACGTAAGAGCAGCCTTTAGTGGAGAATTTCAGAGAAATGTTATTGCTTAAACTTAATTGTGCGATAATTCTTAAAATGGACTTTGGCAATTGCCAATTTAAATTGCTGGGTGGTAGATAAAAGGGGGCAAAGCTTGAGTACAAATTCGTGTAGTGTGAACCGGCTGCCATGCTGATATCTTCTTGATAGAATGATATATGATGATGATATGAATGAAATGATATGAAGTTGGTCTGTACGTAGGCCCCAAACTGAAAGACATCCAGAATTACGTTCCATGAGGAAAGCTTACTCTTTCTCAGCATCGACAATACGGCCCCGCCTGCCTAACTCGCTTTGGAAACTGTTGTGTCTCCATTTCTCTAAACAATGCCACCCACATCTAGCCTTGAATAACCCAAGACCTTTGGCTGGGTTGCCGAAGGAATCAGATACGGGGTGGAAGATGGTTGCTTGCAGAGGTGCGAAAGTGTTATTAGTTTTTTGATAGCTCTTCAGAAAAACTAAAATATCTCAGCAGGCCGTGAACATTTTTAAAGTTTCTAAAAGGCATGCGAATAAGCTTTAAAGAGCACAACTTTCTTTCTAATTTAACTCTTCGACGGGTATCGAGATTTTGCACACAGTGTGTGCTTCTTATAAACATTGAATTAAGCAAAGCATTTTTACATTTCCAATTGAACGAGTTTTTTTTAGCAAAACGCTTCGCTACTGATTTTCACACAAAGGAGTAATTTCCTATTGTTTTCGAAGCGGGACTTAAAAATGTTTCGTCTCCCTTTTGTGCGGCCGTTCAAAAATGTCCGCCCCGGTTGGTCGCCGCCATAACCGAGAAATGTTGTTCGCAGGGGCGGAAGATGACGTGCATCGTTTCGCGGGCAACGACACCATCACCGACTACTTCCGGCTCGTGATGCGAGACGGAGACTTTCTTCTCATCGGAGGAAGGTAAGTGGAAAAACCATAAGGCCCCGAAAGGGTCGATCGGAACGGATATTGTTTCCTGATGAAAGTCCCGCTAATTTGAAATAACTTTGCTGCAGCTTTTTTCCACACTCGATACCGACGCCATTTTTGGCTGATTCCGATTACTTCGATTACATATTAACAAAGGATATTAAACATTAGGCTGGGTCAAGGAAAATGATTTTTTTTTTGGATCTGGCATACAAAAACTAGTTGCTAGTTACCTCTAGAAAGTACTTACCACTCATAGTTTTGCAAGTTCGATTTAATCTCATTTATAAATAATCATATCTTAACATAAATAGCTAATAAACCAATTTTATTGAAAATTTATCGATGTTTGATGATACTGTCCCACTCGATATAAAAAAGAAGGTAGTCGAAGCTGTTAAAACTCGATATGGTATAAATTGTGGGGTTAAAAAATTTGTTCAAAATATCATCAATTCGATAATTCAAAAGGATTTGGGTAACTTTGTTTCTCAAAAATCATTGAATTTGAAATCTGCGACCTACCATACGATTTCCTTGATGTTGATAATGCATTGGGGGCTTCAAATGAGAGTTATAAGAAAAATGAAAAATATCTAAATCAGCGTTTGACGAAAAACGAAGAACAGTTTCAATACTTCCTGCAAGTTGTCAAAGAAAATCGACTATTTTCTGACCGACGATTTGTTTAACTAAATCTAAAAAATTTATATTTTTTTATTAATACTGTAACAGAATTCTTTTTCTATTTGTTAATTAAAGAACTTTTTCTTTTTAAATAAATAATAAATAATTTCAAAATTTACTAATTCAATGAATACATTGAAAATATTTATTAAAAATTATGAATATAAGAATCCATTGGGTTTCCCATGCAAAACTCTTCAAAATGGTTCGAGTAATCGATTAACCGCACGAGACCTTTTTTGTAGAGCATTAAATTTCCCATAAGAATAATTGAAAACGTTTCACGATAATTATTTTTCAGTCAAAAACAAAAATCAGAACAAAAATTTATCTTTCTTTGAATTCTTCATCATTGACTTCGAGTATCTTTGAAATGATTCGATCTATCGGTAAAGGATAAGACACCATTTTTGTAGAGCGTTCAATTTCCTATTTAATAAATAATAATAATATTATATTGGTGATATGATATGATTATTTATATCTAACACTTCATCGAAAACGCAAAACTGTAATGAGAATAATCTTCCCATTAATATCATTTGTATATAGTATTTGTGTATCAGATCAAAAAAAAAATTAAAATTATATGCTACTTTACACTTCACTCAGTGGTTCAAGAAGACAATTTAGCTTCAGAAAATTTATTATCAAAATATTTAGACACTTTTTGCTCATTAAAGCAATATTATGCGTGTAATGGGATTTCAAAAAAGGGTATTCCATCCAAATTATGTTCAAATGACCCATCTGTTTTGGGTTTTTAGTCTTTATTTTAGAAAAAATGTATTTCATAAAACCTTTTCAAATCTTTTTCGGAATTCAGTCAAACTTACGATTTAAAAGAAATTCAGCGTGAAAATCAACAAACTAAACGGTTTTTTTTGTAGTCGCACATACGCCACGTGTTGGTAAATTATTTACATAAATTGCGTACCGTTATCCAAAGATGTAGGGAGATGTTTTCTTGGTCCTCTTGAAAATCATCCTTTTTCCGCCAAAATCTGTAAAAAAAAAATACAAAGGCAGGTTGAAACAGGTTGTAGTTCAATTTGCATCAACACCAGAAAAAATAGCAAAAACGCCTGCAAGTCAGAACAGGTTTTGCCGTTATGTTCCAAATGTTATGTCAAGCATATAAATATAGGGAATGTTTGCTTGGTTTCCAATGAACAGTTACATACAGCGATGTCTCTCAAAAATGTCGCCTCATCAGACCATAAAATTTCGTCTTGATGGTTGAGAATCCACTGGCAAATTTCTAAACAACTTGGAAAGCCTTCGGGTCTAAAATTCTGCAGTTTGGCCCTTGCGTTTAAGTTATTCTGCTACGCTAAAAATTCATTTATCCACGTCACAACACTGGACAATAACTGCGAATTTAATTTATAGAAAAATGTTAACGTGAAGAGATTGAAACACCATCTCAGTAAACTTTCAATTGTTTCAGGGATATTATTTGAGAATTTTACTCAATTCTGTTATCTTGTCATTGCAATAACCTAAGTAAAATTATCTGTTCTGTTCTGAAAACGCTCCATACTCCAACCACACCAAATAAAAAAAAACTCTGAACAAACACATCCAAAAAAAAAACAAATGTCAAACTGACAACAAAATAAGAATCTTATTAATTCTGATTCATGAATAAGTAAGAACACAAATTTTCCGATTTATTGCAGTTATTGTTACCTCTACCCCTCATAAGGCATGCCAAAATTACTAACAAGCTAATATTTCAAAACTTTCTGCCAATCTGACTCGGAAATATTAATAATAACAATTAATATTATTTGTAATAAATATGTATTAATCAAATTAATAAAAAGTAATATTCATAAATTATAAATGCTCTAATTCATTAATAAATGCTCTAATATTTTGGACAACTAATTTCAGGACACTCTGTATACATTTACCTGTATGTAATAGTCTTGATGTATAAATATTCTAAGCTGTAATTAAAAATTAAATAAATAAAATTGACCTTATTTTTATCAGGGTATATAGAAATGTTTATGGATATATATATATATATATATATATATATATATATATATATATATATATATATATATATATATATATATATATATATATATATATATATATATATATATATATATATATATATATATATATATATATATATATATATATATATATATATATATATATATATATATATATATATATATATATATATATATATATATACACAAAACGGTAGTCGTGACCGGCTAGTTGAACAACAAATTTTAGTTAATTGGGGTATCGGTCCTGATGAGGGCTCAAATAAAAGGCTTTTGTGCTACACCAAGCTTTCGAAAATGTTTATTTTCTTCTTCAGGGGCTACAATATGAAGAGCTTTTATTGATTGGAAAAACCCCATTCCTGTAAAATACACAAAACGGTAGTCGTGACCGGCTAGTTGAACAACAAATTTTAGTTAATTGGGGTATCGGTCCTGATGAGGGCTCAAATAAAAGGCTTTTGTGCTACACCAAGCTTTCGAAAATGTTTATTTTCTTCTTCACGGGCTACAATATGAAGAGCTTTTATTGATTGGAAAAACCCCATTCCTGTAAAATACACAAAACGGTAGTCGTGACCGGCTAGTTGAACAACAAATTTTAGTTAATTGGGGTATCGGTCCTGATGAGGGCTCAAATAAAAGGCTTTTGTGCTACACCAAGCTTTCGAAAATGTTTATTTTCTTCTTCAGGGGCTACAATATGAAGAGCTTTTATTGATTGGAAAAACCCCATTCCTGTAAAATACACAAAACGGTAGTCGTGACCGGCTAGTTGAACAACAAATTTTAGTTAATTGGGGTATCGGTCCTGATGAGGGCTCAAATAAAAGGCTTTTGTGCTACACCAAGCTTTCGAAAATGTTTATTTTCTTCTTCAGGGGCTACAATATGAAGAGCTTTTATTGATTGGAAAAACCCCATTCCTGTAAAATACACAAAACGGTAGTCGTGACCGGCTAGTTGAACAACAAATTTTAGTTAATTGGGGTATCGGTCCTGATGAGGGCTCAAATAAAAGGCTTTTGTGCTACACCAAGCTTTCGAAAATGTTTATTTTCTTCTTCAGGGGCTACAATATGAAGAGCTTTTATTGATTGGAAAAACCCCATTCCTGTAAAATACACAAAACGGTAGTCGTGACCGGCTAGTTGAACAACAAATTTTAGTTAATTGGGGTATCGGTCCTGATGAGGGCTCAAATAAAAGGCTTTTGTGCTACACCAAGCTTTCGAAAATGTTTATTTTCTTCTTCAGGGGCTACAATATGAAGAGCTTTTATTGATTGGAAAAACCCCATTCCTGTAAAATACACAAAACGGTAGTCGTGACCGGCTAGTTGAACAACAAATTTTAGTTAATTGGGGTATCGGTCCTGATGAGGGCTCAAATAAAAGGCTTTTGTGCTACACCAAGCTTTCGAAAATGTTTATTTTCTTCTTCAGGGGCTACAATATGAAGAGCTTTTATTGATTGGAAAAACCCCATTCCTGTAAAATACACAAATCGGTAGTCGTGACCGGCTAGTTGAACAACAAATTTTAGTTAATTGGGGTATCGGTCCTGATGAGGGCTCAAATAAAAGGCTTTTGTGCTACACCAAGCTTTCGAAAATGTTTATTTTCTTCTTCAGGGGCTACAATATGAAGAGCTTTTATTGATTGGAAAAACCCCATTCCTGTAAAATACACAAAACGGTAGTCGTGACCGGCTAGTTGAACAACAAATTTTAGTTAATTGGGGTATCGGTCCTGATGAGGGCTCAAATAAAAGGCTTTTGTGCTACACCAAGCTTTCGAAAATGTTTATTTTCTTCTTCAGGGGCTACAATATGAAGAGCTTTTATTGATTGGAAAAACCCCATTCCTGTAAAATACACAAAACGGTAGTCGTGACCGGCTAGTTGAACAACAAATTTTAGTTAATTGGGGTATCGGTCCTGATGAGGGCTCAAATAAAAGGCTTTAGTGCTACACCAAGCTTTCGAAAATGTTTATTTTCTTCTTCAGGGGCTACAATATGAAGAGCTTTTATTGATTGGAAAAACCCCATTCCTGTAAAATACACAAAACGGTAGTCGTGACCGGCTAGTTGAACAACAAATTTTAGTTAATTGGGGTATCGGTCCTGATGAGGGCTCAAATAAAAGGCTTTTGTGCTACACCAAGCTTTCGAAAATGTTTATTTTCTTCTTCAGGGGCTACAATATGAAGAGCTTTTATTGATTGGAAAAACCCCATTCCTGTAAAATACACAAAACGGTAGTCGTGA